CAGCACTCAGATAAAAATAATACAGATATATAGTTATCCTTTTTTTCTGCTCTGTTCATGTTTTATTGCTTTATAACTTCATATTTTCTTGCATACTGTGATGAATATTCAGTTATAACTAAAGATGATCAATATTTTCTGGAAATTTTTTTAAACTCCTTTATCGTTTTGCTCGTCTGCAACATATATACATATTTTCCTGCTAACACGTGTATTCACTTTCTATGGAGCAAAGGTTGCATCAATAACTTGTCTTTCTTCCTCTTGCTGTACTAGGACATGCTGTTGCTGGATGAAGCAATTCCATTTAAATAATAACAGAACGGAAGCATGATCCAGAGCATGTATAGCGAACTCTGAAAATAATAGCAGTGTTTTGGTTAGCTTTTTTTTTTAATATTATGTTTCTGTGCACCATCTGTGTTGATCAGGAAGCAGAAATATCAGAGTATTGTGAGCCAAGCAGCCATGTGGTATTTTGGAGTTTAACTGTTAATTCTGCAAAAAGTATGATTTCCTGCTCTGTTTCGCAACCCAGAGGTTTGGGATGTTTCTGAGGTTCTGTCTTTTCCTCTCCCAGAGCAAAGCTGCAGCTGGTGGGAAAAGCAGCCCTACACATTCATAGCAGTGTCAGATCATTTTCTGAAAAGGAAAAGTCTCCTTTTAGGACAACTTTTAAATTTCTTTAGGTAGTCAGAGCAATAGACACTACAGAAAGCTAAGTCTTTGTAACCAGATACGGCAGAAAGCACGAACTCAAGGTAAACACGTACTTTCTTTGTTGGGTTTGACCGTGAGTGGCCCCTACAAGCAATGCCAGAGTACAGAGAATATTCCCTGACCAGATTCTCCAGCAGAATGGGGTTCTGACACAAGCAAATATTACATTAGAGTGACCTCTGCATCCTTCTGAGGAGCAATTCAACACTTGCATTTCCTTCATGCTCACAAACATGCCAGAGCTTAATGTGCTGCTGTGCCTCTGCTGCAGGAGCTCAGCTCCTGGTGCTCCCTAGGCTGGAAGGTGCACCCCAACTCTCCCCACGGCTCCCACTGCCCGTGGGAGAGATCTGCTCTTGCAGTGGCCATCACCCAGCTCGCACTCAGTGCGGAAACTCTTGCAGATGGCGCCCTCTTTGCACGGCCGGGAAAAACGGCCTAAGAAAGCTCCAGTTTATAAATGTAATCACGAGTGCAAATGAATTACGGTAAATTTAAGTCTGCTGAGTCCCAAAGGAACTGTGTGCAGTACAGGAAAACCGTCAAATATCCTCAACATTTGATCAAGTTGTTGCCAGTCTCCGCAGGCTAGCAGACATGATGAACAGGGCAAGATTTACTAACCAGGGGAGAAGAGTCCATCTCAACCAGTCAGAAACTACTTGTGCTTGGAGATTCTTCGGTTATTAAAAAGGAAGCAAGAAGGGGGCTTTAATATGCAAAACACTGCAGTTTTATTACAATGAACATCAGGTTGAAATCAATCACACCTTTTCTTCACTGTTCATTTAGCAAATGTGCTTCCAGAAGTGATGAGGTATCCTTGATGTGCAGGTTAGCAGACCTTTTACCTGACATGGAACTGTCAGGATGAAATGTGACCTTTTCGGATTTTGACTAAACATTTGTCTTTATCTTTGACAGCTATTCTTAAAGCAGCTGCAAACACAGAAGGTAGGATTGCTTTTTCCTTCAAAATATTTTCAAACAGGAATAAAAATAAATACTTGGGTTTTTTTATGAATTGGTATTTATTATTTATTTGTCTTTTACATATTTATTTATATGAGCTTAATTTACTTAGTTGCCACTGAATTCATTCCCAGCATAATTTAGCAGTACCTATGAGATGCTTAGAGCATCCCAGAATAACGAAAAGCTTTGGTAAACTGATCACCCCTCTTTGCTCCCTCTTTTTCAGGCTAAGATCTATGAGGGGGAGTGACACAGAGGCATTATAATAGATTTTTAATAAAAATCTTATCCTAAAAATACTCCATACAATAATATCTACACCTTAACGTTCATAGCTTCTTTGCCCACCCTCCTATCCTTGCCCCAGGAGAACAGCGGAAGAAGTCTAGGGGTTGTTGAGGTTATATTCCACTTCCTTCATAAATGTGGGTTCCTGATTAACAACCTGGTAATTAAGGGGGAAATTAGACCAATAGTTTTCAGTACTCTTCATATTTATTTGTGGCTACAGTACACCCACTTCTAATTGTATTTATTTACAGATGCCAAAAAGGACAAAGCACATGGTCACACGAATATGTGGCTACTGCTTACTCTGGTCCTCATAATTTCATTCGGGATTGGTTTTATGATTTATTTCTTATGGAAGATCAGAAATCAAAGTAAGACTGAAAGAGAGGCAAGGCGGCGCAGCACACTGCTAGAATACAGCTGTGTCCTAAATGGACAGGACGATGGAAATGGTTCTACCAACAACAAAGAAAAAAATGAACACAGTGTTGTCTAATGGGGTATCACAGCCAGACTGTATAGTTAAGCTTAAAAAAGCATCTAGCTGGTACAAAGAAAATCTTAGTAAAAGTTACATGCACCTAACAAAGACACTATGGACTAAAATTAGCAATTATTCCTTTGGTACAGATTAGGAGCTATTGCTCTATGGTCTTCAAGAAATACTTTCAAGACTAGGACTCAGTACTGTGTAAAATGGTTAATTAAACAAGCATGACAAATAGCAGAACCAGTGTGAATTTAGATTTACAAGTTAATGGACTGATACCCTAACATTCTCTGTTTTTCATGATCTGTGGCACCATCACACAGCAAGTCAAGTGCAGCCATACAGTGAACAATCTCTTTGCAGAGCACTCAGCCCCAAACCCTACACTTTGAGAAAGCATCTCACCACAGCATACTGAAGAGTGCATACTGTTACTCAAGTAAATTGGTGTTTGGAATAAAAAGAGATTTACATAAATTGTTCTCCCCCTTGTTTGCCCCTGCCTTACACTCTTTACACAAGTACCTTCCTTGCCATAGAATTAGTGAAATGCAAATACTTGTCCTTCATTCATGGCTTGAACTTGGATTTTGCAAAACAACAAAATCTTTGCAAACACTTGGCCATATTCTATGACTTTGAGTGTTTTGTACCAATTATGAATATATCAATAAAGGATCTATATCTTACATAATAACACTTCAGTGTTGTTTAATTGTCATGCACAGATGTTACACGGTTTGGTGATCTGAAGAATCATTTACCTTAAGAGAGAGGCTAACAGGAGGAAACACAGAAACATGAAAAAGGCACATGACTAAAAAGAAACATAAATAAACTATAAAATAAAGTGGATGCCAAATAAAGTTGGAAGAATCCATTCTTGTTTTTATTTCACTTGATTGCTCATTTTAGGATGCCTTCTCTTACTGTCCTCCAACTCTCTGATAACTGGACTGATGACCGGGCATTGTATCCATGCTACAGGTCAGTAAGGCAGTGAGACACACCTGAGTGTCTTGGTAGTGAAATGCTTTAGAGATTTACTGAGGTTTAAGTTTTCTATAAATTCTATGTTACCTATGACATACTGAAGAAAAAAAAAAAGAAAAAGATCTCAAGGATCTCTGGAAGAAACAGACCCTTAGAAAGTGCGTAAGAAGTGTATAGGAGAGAACATTGGTTTGCTGGTTTGCAGACATCACAGTCAAAGAAAGCATGTTGCAGAGGATGGGGAATGAAGTGCATTCTGTACTCAGTCTACTTTTACTGACAGTCCCCTTATTCTTACTCCTTTTTTCTCTTCCTGTAAGTTACAACACATATCCATATTTATATTTTCTGTAAACACTGACACTGATTTACTTTCAGTGTTGTTTGATGGCTAACAATAAAGGCAAGGCAAATGAAAAGAGTAAACAGATGAAAAATACCCAACCCCCAAAATGTTATAATTATTTGTAATTTTTACATTTTTATAGTTGATATTGGCAACAAGGCTCTATACTGTGTAAAAGGGTTTCTTAACTCACATTAAGTGATGCCTCTGCAGAATATATTATGAGATTTTTCTTCATAATAAAGGCATGAAAAAAGAGAGAAAATTGTAAAGGCAATTTCTGCTGAACATATTTCCTCCTTTTCCTTCAAAATAAATCAGCATCATAGCTGAAGCTGAATTCCACTTAATAAAGGGCTGCACCTCATTTGTAATGTCTGAGAATATTCCTCTTTTCTTGTCTCGTTTACACGTGGTACAAAGAAAGAAATACTAAGTATTAAAATTCATTTGTACTTTATGGATTAAATAATTCTGAAAGGTAGTTTATTAATAAGAATCACTGGTTTGTAAAGATTTGTAAATATTTGGCTAATTTGTATTGTTTCTCCTGACATAAATACATATGGAATTATGACACAGCAGTTTAACCAGTTGATAAATTGGAGAAGGTAAAAGCCAGGTGTATACATAGTGCCCAGTTTGTAAAGTTACTGAGCAAAATTAAGTTGTCCTGTCTGGGTTAATTTTTCACACTGAAATACTTGTTATTGCTCAGTGCATCAAATTAAATGAATATATATTTAGTAGAGGTGAAGACCTATCTGACCAAGAAATTTGCATATTTTTTTTCTTGAGTTTCCCAAGTATGTATGTATGAGATTTAAAGTACATCCATTTAAAGTGCACTTCCTGCTACTATTTCCTTTGAAGGTCAGAAATTTACAATCCCAGAGCAGAACCAAGAAACTTAAAAATAATTCAGCAGAATGATGTTGAACTGTTCAAACTTTGCCACTTGCATTCAAATGGAAGGAAATTTCACTTTCAGATGCAAAGTCTGAATTTTGTAATTATTTATAGGTTTCAAAATACCACATGTGACAGGATAGTTCCTTTTTTACAGCCCAGAGTTTTCTCTTTCAACTAATTCTCTCCAAAACTGAGAAGAAGCCAGAGCCAACTTGTTCCTTAAGGACATCTGCAGCAATTAAATTCAGTTCGTCTCTTTCTGAATAAGAAGAAATGAAACCTTTGACTTTTTCTACAGTCTTAGTTTTCCTCTCTTTCCTTCATACTGCTTTTCAGACACTCGGTGAGTCTTTGTTTTTTATCCCCTGCAAAAGTGGATGTGAAAGTGGGCATTTTTCTTCTCTTGTTTGTTTCTCAGACTCTTTAAGGTTTTCATGCTGCTTGATGGCCCTGCATTTCATATTCATCCTAACTGAAGTAGTCCACAGAAGTTTAAAAATATGCAGATACAGAGATGTTTGTTCACTTTTAAGGAGAGGGGAAGAGTCAAGATGAGGCTGGGATTCAGAAGTTAGGACAGCCATGTGTCTGGATAAAGATTTCATTTGGCTTACAACTTAATTATTGGTTATGTCTGCTCTGTGAAGTAGATCTGCTCCATAGTCCTTGTCTGTATATGTGACTGAGTTATGAAAAAGGAAAAAGAATAAGGAACTAAATAGGGTGCTGTATGTGTATCTTGTACCCTTAGGATGAGGTTGTGTAAGACCAGATAGAACCTGCGGATTGCTGAGAGATGTAATACTGTGAGTGAGCAGATGTCAGTGAAAGAAAATATTCAAAAGATCACAGAGTCAAGAACACCTCAGGAATAATGAATGTGGCTTTCAAAGTAAGGATAAGAGGCATAGTTAAGGCTCTGAAGTTGATCATGACTTCCTTTTGTGTTAGGATGGTGATAAGGTTAAGGTTCAAGGACATTCTTCCTATATCCTTCAATTCATTAGATTTATGGAGGAATATGGCACAAATCAGAGCTTCCAAAACCAGACTGTGACCTGTGAGCTGTGACAGCACTAGCCAGTGCAAAAAAGGGAGCTTCCTCTGCTCTGCAAGCTGGGACTGAAACTCATGTGATAGCCCAAGCATGAACCTCCCAGTTTCCAGTGACAGCTCCTCTTATTAGACCCAATACTACAAGAGGCAATAGCTGAAACTTAGGGCACTACACTAAGCACTTATTTAGTAGTAAGAACTAAAAGATTTAATAAGATTTAAAACTTTCTGTCTAAATGGAAAAGGAAAGAAGAAGTGAGGTTTTAGCTTCAAATTTAGATGTGAAGACGTGAATCTTCCATAGACTACTTAGCTGGTCAAAGTAATACGGTGCCTTCTTGGGAGAGACTGAGCCTTAAATACAGATATCCTAACAAGAACTGTTCTTCCTGTCATAGCTTCTCAGAATTTCCCAGACACTTTCTGCTCTGCTCTGTTCACTACTCTACATTGGCTTTGCCCTAACAGTCTGTCCATGTCTTACAAATTCACTTTAGTGTTTGGAAGAATATTTCGTTGTCCTTTATGTGGTTATTCTCTCAGATGAATACAAGGGTGATGCTATATCTCTGTTCACAGATGGGGACTTGAGGCACAGAGAACTGAAGTGCAAAGCCTTGTTCTCCTGTCCCTTGAGTCCTGGAATATTCCCTGTCCAAATTTTACTTCCTCAGGACTGAAAGCCAGTGTGAGCAGTATGCTACTGGATGTTTTGAAAAGTAGGCAGCCATGTTCACAGCCTGATGCCCAGCACTGAACAACCTGCTTTACATTTCAGTGTACAACTGCAGTACAGGGCAGCAGGGTCTACTTGTTGTGATGGTGCTCTAAATTAGGCTGCCTATAAGCCCTTGGGAGTGTTAGCTGTCTTGTTCAGCATTCACATACTGTCTCTCCATAACAATGCACAGGCACACAGACAGACCCCTATAGTATCTTTACCTCTATTTACTGCCTGGTGTTGGTTCTTCTGAGAATGTTTGTGATTGTGTGAGTTATGTTGATTCCTTATGATAGATGTACTAATGAGAGGATACTGGAACACGGCAAGAAAACAAGTCACTGTTTCATAGTTTTTCATCCTGAAAAAATGAAAATAACAGACCATGCCGATGACAGAGGGATCAAGAGTCACAGAACGCTCACTCGCTAACTGTATTAAGCACAAATGCAACCTGATGGAGATGTATGTAACATGACTTAAATCTATAGTGCATGAAGTGATGGCGAACTTCCAAATCCTCACCGATGTCTCTTCTGGAAATCTTGAAAGAACTGTATATTTCAGGAGGGATTTAGAAAAATAAATCCACTATACTAATGAAAATTCCATTATAGTGATGACATTTTTGAAGCTCTCATAATGTATTTTATGTGCTCTTGTTCCTCTGTAGTGTATTTACAGGAGCTGCATTTTTTTTTCCTTCCCAGGAGGAAATAAAAGTCTTGAATATGCTGTTTGATCTTTGAAAAAGTGACTCAGATTTACAGTCTCCTGACATGAGTCAGATGAGCATAGAATCAACAGCATATCTCTTCCCTCATAAGCTCCTCTCACCATGTGCTCACCATAGATTCATTAATTCTAATTATTTTATTTTACAGATAATGAAATATTTTTAATATACAATGAGGATAGTAAGTTTTGTTTAATTGCTCAGAGTTCTCATGCAGTCACAACAGCTGCTTGCAACAAAAAGACTGAGTTACAAAAATTCAGGTGGGTGTCTGACCACCAGCTGATGAGCATGGCATTTGCACAGTGTTTGGGAGTGCCCTACAAGCAAAACGAGGCGAAAATTTCTTTGTACCCCTGTAACAAGAAAAGTGAATTCCAGAAATGGGACTGCAGAAATGCAACCTTGGCAATCCAAGGGCAAGATTTATTTCTCAGTGCTGGCAAAAGAAAAGAAGACAATATTGTACTGAACACAGGATCAGTGATGACAAATAAATGGAAGATCTTTGGAACCATGGATGATTTGTGTTCTCAAGGACATGAGGGTAAAGTTTAAAGGTTAATCTCAATGTTATCTTGAACCCACTTGTCTGCTTCACAGATAGGAACCTCTGTTTTCCGCTCCCCTTAGTCTAACTTCAGCTGTGCCACCCCAGGTAATGGTGGACTGGAGGACGATTAGTTCACATACATACTCAGGCCTGTGTTTCTCCAGGCTGGAGATGCATAGAATCATAGAACGGTTTTGGTTGGAAAAGACCTTTAAGGTCATCCATTGAGCCAGCCCTAAGTCCATCACTAGACCATGTCCATAAACACAACATCTACTGGTCTTTTAAAAAACTCAAGGGATGGTGACTCAATCACTTCCCTGGGCAGCCTGTTCCAGTGCTTGACAACCCTTTCAGTAAAGAAATCCTTCCTAATATCCAACCTAAACTACCCCTTGAGGCCATTACGCCTTGTCCTATCACTAGGTATGAGATGGACACCCACATTACTACAATCTCCTTTCAGGTAGTTGTAGAGAGTGATAAGGCCTCCCCTCTGTCTCCTCTTCTCCAAACTAAACAACCCCAGCTCCCTCAGCCACTCCTCATAAGACTTGTGCTCTAAACCCTTCATCAGCTTCGTTACCCTTCTCTGGAGATGCTCCAGCATCTCAATGCACTCACCATTGCTGCTTAGCTTCAGAGAGAACGCAGTATGCACAAAATGTGCATTTTTTTCTTTACTTTTAAAGCAAAAGGTGGCTCTAGGCTATTTTTAATTGCTAGCTTTAACCAAAGCACTTTTTTAAACTGTATACTGGTACTAGTGAAATTGTATTAGCACTGTTGATGAAAAGCAAAAATCTTTAATTTTAATACTCCCACAGTAAATATATGGAAATAATTCCATGCACACTACTATTCCATTTCTCTATGAGGCTTCAGATGCCAAAACAATTAACAATTAGATCAATCATTTATTTTAATGAAAAACAAAATAACGGTATTTTTAGAGAATTATTTTTAAATATGAGACAAAAATCACTACAGTTTTTTCACAATTTTTGACATGAAGCTGCTTTGTTTCCACCCATTACAGCTGGCAATATCATAAGTAAAAGTTAAACTGCAAGACCTATCCAGAACTTCCTTGACAGACACTGCTAGGGATAGTAGGTCCCCAGTTACACTTGTCTAATACTTGTAACACTTTCTTCCCATACCCTTATGGAAATTACAGACACATAGAGATTTGAGTCCCACGGATTCCTGTACCTATATTGTAATTTCTCTTTTGTCCCCTCAGATCTGTTTACACTGTTAGGAAATGCCAATGGAGCTCCATGTGCCTTCCCCTTCCAGCTGAGTGGTAAATGGTACGCTGGGTGCACAGCTGCCGGCAGGTCAGATGGCTTACTCTGGTGTGCAACAACTCCCAACTTTGACATGGACCATTTGTATGGATTCTGTCCAACTGGCCGTAAGTCCAAACGCTGACATAGATGCTATAACACAAGACTGTTAGATAAATGCATCAATACTGAGATGATGATGATGCTAAAGTGGAAGAGAAAATCCTTGCAACAACTTTATTTTACGCAAAAATGTCTCTGCCTTACCATAACATTCCACACAGAAGAAACAAGTGTTCCCTATGAGCCTCCAGTCAGGCTGAGTATTTCCTGGGTGTATAGCTAACACCCAGGAATATATCAGTATGATTTAAATATGATTGCATTCAGCATAAAATCATCTGAAAATTGAGATGCTACTCACAGCCTAATTCTCTTTGCCTCATTGCTATTCGTGGTAACAGTAGCATGGTGTTTTCTACCTATGTAAATCCCTGTTCTGTATAACAAAATTGGTCCACAGTCCACAGAAGAATGTTGTTTGTTTTCTGAAAGACGTAAAATAAGAAGATTGGTTCAAAAATCTTATTGGAATAGCGACATCTTCAGCCTGTAGCTTGTATCGTTTCAGGTAACATTACAAGATAATGTTATCTGAACAGACAAAGGTATGTGCATCTCAGAGCAGGATGGAAGACATCAAAATATGGTGTTACAGAAGATATTAAAAATGCTGCCTCAGACTTAAATTTTCAGTGCTATACCACAGACTTGCAAATTGTCATTTTGATAGGAGTACTGCACTGGGAAACCAGGTTGAACTCATTATCAACCAACTACCACCACCTTTTTCACTCATTAACTCATTTCACTCATTAATTCATTATCAACCACCAACTACCACTACCTTTTTCACTGACATTACTAAAAATTATTTCCTGGTGCAACATTACATTCATTAGCTTAAAAACCCCAACCAAACAACAAAATGTCCGCACTGCATAAACAGAGAAACACAAAGTATTTGGCATTATAAAATTGTTGGGATAGTATCACTAACACCTGAGTCTACAATTGAAAAATAATGTTAAGAATCTGAAGTGAATCAGCAATACAGAAACACCATAAAAAATAGAAAATGTTGCTTCTAATGAACAGTTCAACAAATTAAATATCTTTTCCTCAGTGGAGGAAAAGTTAAGGGAAGTTGTAATCACATCTTATTAGCACTTGTCCAGGGACCAGTTTTGCTAATGGTGAGCTCTGAGAAGACAATTATCTAAAACACATGCAGACTAGAAATAAGGCATACATTTTAATAAATGTTATTAATGATGTCATAGTTTAAAACCTAAACTTTCCATTATTGGAAATGTTTACATTCCAGTTGTATTTCAGCCAAGAATTAATTCAGGCATAGCCTACAAGCTGCTGAACAGGTTTTCAGAGTAGCTAATGACCAAGGAGCAGTTTTGCCTTATTGATCTCATTACACTACTTTTTTTTTCACCTGGAGATTATCAGATTTGACAGAGGAAACTGAGAATAAAGGATGAAAGGCCCATCTTTGCTAATGTCAATGGCAAATCCTCTTTTACTTAACAAAGAGCAGGCTAACAGAAGAGTACGGGTTTTAGGGGTCTGAGCCTTATGTGCTCCAGTATCTCATTTCACAAGTAAGCTTGCAGTTAAATTTTCTCATAACATTTTGTGTAAGATGTTTATCACAAGTTGCAATACTATATCTCCTTTTCTTCACAGACAATGACAGATTTTGGAGTACTGATCCTTTGACAGGAACCTACTACCAGATAAACTACCAGTCGGCTCTCACATGGCACCAAGCAAGAAAGAGCTGCCAGCAGCAGAGTGCAGAATTATTAAATGTCACAGAGATACATGAACAAATGTATCTAAGAGGTGAGCTAATAAGGAACACTCCGTAAAACAGTGTCTAATAGTTTTTTTGACTGATTACAAATGTTTCAGGGGTTTATTCACATTACAATGAATGGCTGATGTAGTAATAGTATATGTACTGCTAGAGGAAGAGCACAATTTGTAATGATGTCTTTTTTTTTTTTCTTCTTCTTCAAATAAAGTTAAGAATCTCCAGCTAATAAAGCAAAAGTTGGTTCAGGCTCAGAAAACACCAGAAAGATTTCAGAAAGAGACCTTACAAGAAGGAAAGTCATCCTAAGAGGCAGTCATTAGATGACTTTTGTGTTAAGAAATCAGTATTCTTCATGTATACCTAATGAAATAGATTTTTTGAAATGTCATACAAATTTGATATAAAGCACTATTAAAAATCTAAAGACTGTCTGGAACTATTCACAGATTCTGTAGAACAGAGGCCCTACATTGCTCCAATTGCATCACACTCAAGCAAACTTATAACACAAATATTAACAACAGCAATTTAGTGTTTCAGTTTTCAAACTTATTGCTTAAATGTAATTGCTTAAATTCAGATAAACTTATATACAAGACAGTCTTTTCACCATTCTCTACCCTTTAACAACAGAATAAACTCTCTTGAGTTTACTAGTAAATACGGATTTTGTACTGAACTTTGAAATCAGGAAGCATGCATTTATTATCTTCTCCCAGACTTTGAAAATGCAGAGCATTTCTTAACAAAGCTAATTAGAATTCAACTCTTTTGATTACCTAGATTTGATTGACAGCAAGAGATCTTCTCTCTGGATTGGGCTTAACAGCCTGAATCTCAACAGTGGCTGGCAGTGGAGCGGTGGCACTCCCTTCAGATACTTTAACTGGGCACCAGGTAGTAATTGCTTTTTAAACTGTTTTTGAAATTAAGCTTTCCTGTCTGTATGATAAATGTGTATTAATTACAGTCCTGTAGTATTCCCCATGAACATGAAGAAATTGAGTTGAAAGGCTTATGAGACATGAGATTAAACAGCTGAGAATGACACTTTTCTTCACTGTATATTTTCCCATTAGAAGTAGGTAAAGTGAAAAGCATTAGTTGAGCTGTAGCATAGTAGGAATTCCTTCAAGTTAGTTAAAACCTCTGTGCCTCTTCAACTCTCATAAGGGTTATCAGACCCCGCATCCTGCAAGGGCTCAGCTGTTGGTGAGCATCAGTCTTTCAAAGCCTCCTCCTTCACTTTTTATGCTTTTCTTCTTCTCTTTAACATTCAATAGAGACTGTAGAGTCCACAGCATTGGCAGTTTATCTTTGAAAGTCGCTTAATGATTGTCATGGCAACAGCTGGTTGCAGCAAATGCTGAATGTTTCCTTGGTGAATAAATGCACACATAGCCCATCTTTTGGCCTTCCCCAAGTCTCAAAGGTGCCACCTGTTTTTATCTGGCACAGAGGATGAAGGGAAAGCCTAGAATTGCTGAGTCTGGCAGACTAATTTTTAACTTCTGCCGAGCTGATTGAATTCCTTAAGCCTTGCAGAGAACAAGAACAGTTGGTTCTCAGGTGAAGCAGCCTACACCCTTGCAGTTTCTGTATCACCACATGATGGCTATTATGATGAGTTAATCTACGCATTTCCAGTTTACTGCAAGATTATTATAAGTTGTATCTTTAAGGGAGAGGAAAATATAAAATGTAAGTCATTGCACTGCAGACTTCTCTGAGAAGAGGAAATCACTGCCCATTCCCCAAGGACAGTGGTCTTGGAGAACCTCCTGGAGGGCTGGTTGCAAAGGTAGGCAGGGGAGGGACAGTGAGTGTGAGGAAGTTTGGCTTGTAGCAAGGAGCAAATCTGCAGCCAAGCTGCTGAGGGGCCATGCAGAAAAGACATTTCCAAAGGGCCTGAGTGGAACTTTTTTTCCAGCACACCACTGAAAAATGCTGGACCAGAATCTGACACAGAAAGGAAAGATTCTCCTGCAAGGGCATTGTGGAAATGAGGATATTTGTTTTCACATGTGACTTGGTATACCTCATCCAACAGATGTACCTTATGTTTTATTTTAGAAATTCCATATTATGAATTTTCCGCTCTACTAAACACAACTGTAGAAACTAGAAGCTATTCAACATGGTTCCACAAAAAGGAAGCCTACCCTGTCAGGCTTTGTCCAGTGTACATTCCCACCACTCCCTACTCAACTGCCAGACAACACATCTCACAGACTGGGGGCATTTTGCTTTTGTCTTATATTTTTTAACAAATAATATTCATTCACTGGCTTGGTTTAACTCTAAAATACAGAGCTAGAACTCTAAATTTCAGGTTTTGAAATGTATTTTTATTGTCAGCAGCTGATGGTTCTTACTCTGAAGAACACTCTTCTCTCTTCACATCTGTAAAATTCCTTGTCCGAATATGAACTATATTAACATGCTGCCTTACTCTGTTCCTGCCTGAAAATATTAGCTCAAACTGTATCCTCTGATTTCATGAATGTAACTGAGTGTTTTAAGCTCATTTCTGAGCCCTATGAGCACAATAAGGTCCTGACCACAAACTGTACAAAACTAGATTTTTCACGAGCTGTGAAAGTATGAATTCTGATTCCCTACAAGTCTGTGTACGGCATTGCAACTATAGCAATACCAGGTACCCCTGCAATGTCTGGACTCTTCAATCCATCACCTACTGACTGGGAAACAACATCACTTATTCTGCAACTGGCTGTGAGCTACATATTCCTGAGCAGATGTATGGCTGACCCCTATGCACAGGCTGAATAAACAGGTGAGCAGGCAAGGAAAGGACTTGCTGCTGACTTTCCATCAGAGCAGAAGAGTTCAGCCAAAGTTTAGTTTCTCTTCTGTGTAAACTGACAATTTTCAAAAAACTTACAGTAATCTCTTATTTTTGAGACTGTTCTTCTGCAATCAAATATGGTAGAAAGTGTGAATTATGCAACAAGTATCTAAAGAAATGTTTTGATGGGTACTTTTAAATTACATTTCCTTATCTCCAGTAGAAAAATAACTGCTGCAATGAATTAAGAGTTTGTAATCGACACACGAAAAGACTTGAAGTAAATTGCTCTTTCAGATGCTGACATAAAACGTATGCTACAAAAAAATAATTTGTTTTTCATCCTATGAAGGAAGCCCTGAGCCTGAGCCTGAGAAACTCTGTGCAGTACTGAATCCCAGAAGAGATGTTAAATGGGAAAACCAGCCATGTGAACTGAAAGTTGGCTACATCTGTAAAAAGGAAAACTCCACACTGGATACTTTCATTCTCCCATCAGGTATATCAAGCAAATAAAAACCCATTGATTAAGACAGAATTTGTGTCATTAAAATGAAATTTCAAATTTCAAATAAAAAAAAGTCATTTGTTCTTCTGCTTTGATGAGTGGCACAGAACAAAGCATGCTGTTATTTCTTTAACTAAAAGATTTAAATATTGGAAATGTTCCTAGAACACAGCAACCACATAAACATTTTTTATTTCATGTTATTATTCATGATTCTAGAGACACTGATCTAAGCCATCCACTGTCCTTAAAGTATCATGGACTGCATGGACATGAAAATAAAGTTAAAGATGCCTCACCCTTCTTGCAGTGCCTTCTAATTAAAACACTGAAACTTAGCACTGCAGTCTTGGAAAGAAGGCACCAATAGGCTCAAACCACCTGCATGTAACCTGGAAAGATGGCAAAAATGTGCAAGTTCCTTCAGACTACTTTCCTACTATGCTTTTCTCTGATTTATTTAATGATATGTAGTATGGAAAACCATGTGTGCAGAGAAGTACTTGTGTTTCTGTAGTAATGCCTTTATAATATATGTAAAACTTAGTTGGCTGGGGTATATAGTGTGAAACATTATACATGTAATTTCAGAATAATCTTCTGATCAAAATGTGTTATACTCATGAAGAATGACATATTGCTTATTTATAATCACTTAATTTTCATTCTAATTAGGTAATTAACTGATTTCAAATGTAATTGCTTTTATTCTAGACTTAAGATAGTATTGTTTAAAAACTTGAAATGTCTATGATTTTGAGGGGATGCAGTGCCTGTCAAATGCCCAGAAGGATGGCTGCCCTATGGACATCACTGCTATGTGGTTCACAGAGATGCCAGAGCATGGAGAGAAGCCCTGATTTCCTGCAGTGAGAGCAATGGCAATCTGGCCAGTATCCATAACCCTGAGGAGCATGGCTTCATAGTGACGCAGCTCGGCTACAGTAAGTACTTCTACAGGGCAGTGTTTGGTACAAATGGAGAATTACATTATTAGAACTCTTACAGGATTAAAAAAATATACTATTTGTTTTATATGAATATTTATAGGGAAGCACACATATATACAGGCTAAAAAACACAACCAACAAACATCAAAATAACGCGAATCATTAGTGCTCTCTTCATTTTCTTTTTCATTCTTTTCAATTTTTCACTGTGTGAAATCACTTGAAGGAAGTAACAGCTGTAGTTGCAGCATTTGGGCTGATTATCAGTCTCAGACACCTTGTAGCTGTAGATACAGTAATGGACTCTTACTGATAAAGCTGAGGAATATAATTTCCTGCTGGTATAAAATTTTTTAACTTTTTGAAAGAAGAATATGAATTAGATCTTAAAATAAATTCTACTGTCATTTAATTCAGGTGAATTTGTACTGTAACATGGCAATTTCAGCTCATCTCAGTAAAATCTTGTTCCTAAGGACTGTTTCAACGTGGGTACTATCACAGCTGAATTCCTGTTCTTAGATGCTGCAGATGAGCTGTGGATTGGTCTGAATGACCTCAGCACTCAAATGTGCTTCGAGTGGAGTGATGGGACTCCTGTGACATACACCAAATGGTTGCCTGGAGAACCAACCCATGCAACCAATGGGCAAGAAGATTGTGTCATTATGGCAGGAGAGGTAGAATCATTTCACATTTGTGTAGCCCTATACTACCTTATTTTTGGTTCAATTTCTACGTTTTTTTTTATGGATGCACTTTAGAAACAAATCAAGGAATGGCATCTTTATCCACTTAGAAAGATTTTGTTCAAAATTAAATTAGAGTTAAGTAGATAAATGTTCATATCTGATTGTGAGTGTACATTATATGGCAAGCAAACCTAAATACTTAAAACCTAAAGCTTAACATCGAAGCAATACTTAAAACAAAAAAAATTAGTAATGTTTCTAAAGGAAACACATTCTGCCTCATTATTTTTCACCTGTTTCTAAACTGCATCTAGGATGGATATTGGGCAGACAGTGCCTGTGATAGAAAGTTAGGTTACATCTGCAGAAGAGAGCCACTACAAGGAGTTTCTGGGACAGTAAACAGTGATCCTGCCTGTCTGAAGGTAAGAAGAAAGCATACCCAAGAATCTGGCTAGCAAAAATAAATTGTTTTCACAAGCTCCATTTGACATTGAAATTATCTTTTTTTTTTCTCTAACAAGTGTGATTTTACATTAAATTCAGGGTGATAATTTTCATTACATTCCCTTATTTAAAATAAAGTTATTTTGAAATATTTTTTAGACAATCTGAGTCAAGCCTGTTATTTCTCAGAACTGTCTGTGAAAGAGGCTAATGCCATTACTGTGGTTTTCTGCATATTTGTTATATTGTTCTACAACCATTTGTGGTTATCTAAGACACAGTAGAGACTGGGAACCATTTCTGGACTATGTGGGATGATGAAGATGATGAGAAATCTCACTCTTGAAGCCAAATCAAAACAATGAAATTGCTTTTATGAGTGAGTTTGTTTTGAACAAGTTATTGCACCCTACTGTTTTTTTCTTCTCTTTTTATTCCCTCTTTTTACTTTCCTATTTATTACTGTGCTATATTTAGTAACATTTCCCACATCCCCTTATGGGGAACAGAGCTGAGGCTCATGGAGCTAGCTGGAACAAGGCAGCAGCCAAATACTGTACACAAATCTTATTTACCTTTCTTGGATGCAGCAAGCAAATCTTGAGCTAGTATAGAAGGGAAAAGTGACTTGGAATTCAGCTATAATTCTGAGGATTTTTCTTTTCGTTAGTTTTTGTGCTACCTCTTCAGTCAGACTTTTTTAGGTGAGCTGATGAGTTAAATCAATTAATTAGTCTAGTTACTGTTCTTTTAGCCTAGAAAGGTCAGGAAAATTGTCTCAGTATCTCCCTATAACACAGAATACTCTCTTTGCTTCTGAGCAAGGAAGTGTTTTACTCACCCACTTCTGAATACACTCTCCATTCTGTGTGCCTCTTACTTTTTATCAGATAAAATTTATCAGTTACTAATCATCAAAACGAAGTGCTCGTATGCAGTAGATTTCTTCTTTCTGGATGTTTACTAAGCTTAATGTCCATTAATCCACTAGAATCCAAATTAATATCTTACCGCATTAAGATATATTAAAATATGTTGATTTAAAAGCATACACTGAAATTCAAGAACTATAACATAAGCTTTTTTACTTCAAATGTATTCCACATGTTCTTGACAGGGCTGGAAAAGATATGGTTTTTACTGTTACCTTGTTGGACACACCTCTTTAACATTTTCAGAAGCAAAGAAAACCTGTGAAAGGAGCAGTGGTCATTTAACAACTGTTCAAGACAGGTATGAAAAGAGTTTAAAACCTGTACACCCAATGGAATAGTCTTAGAATTTTATAAAGTAGTTGAGAAACTTTTGGAAAAGAAGTGTGAAGGCAGAAAACCAGAATATCTTTTTCCGGAGAAAAAAAAGATCACTAAATACAGTAGGTCTTTTCTAACTAAATATATTTTACATATTCATGTTTTCCAGTACTTCAGTCTGAAAAAACAGACCACAGCGGCTTTTGTTCTGTAAGGAGCAGTTTTTCAGCATAGCATGGCTTCACCTACTATTGAAGCTATTTCAGCTGTTATCCAGTTAAGCAACATATTTCCACTTTAAGTGGAAAAGGAAGCCTAATGGAGACTCCAGTCATTTCAGTCTTGTGTAGTTCAGGATGCTGAGAAATGGTAGACTAAGGGAAAGCCAGGCTTAATCTCCATCTGACTCCTGTCATTTCAGATATGAGCAAGCCTACCTGACCAGCCTGATTGGTCTCACCTCTGAGAAGTATTTTTGGATTGGTCTCTCATATATGGAAGAGCAAGGGATGTTCAAGTGGGCAACTGGTGAAGGTGTTCTGTACACAAACTGGAATGCAGCAATGCCTGGTGCTCTGCCACTGGAGCAAATTCATGCTACTAAGGCGCTTTCTGTGTTTTAATTCCCTACTGTTTCACAACCTTGCTAAAACACATCCATGATGACACATACAAACATTCTGCCTTTGAAATAGGATTTTCTTTGATATAAGCTGCCAAGAAAATATTTTTCTGGCTCCTCATTGCTTACAAAAGCAAAATCAAATTGAGAGGAAAGCATGAAATCCTTTCCCACCTGGGCAACAGGCTGCCAAATCCATCTAGTGAATGGCATAGGAAAGAGGCAGGCAAGGGGTTGTTCATGAACTTGTAAGCTTTCCAAAGGGGAGGGAAGATGATGAAGGACTCCGCTTACTGTTTTTCTCCTTTTACAAAGCTCCTCCTTTGAGTAGACACTACACTTCACATTTCAAACAGTCTTTTGTAAGTGAATCATGAGCTGCAAAAATTTCAGGGGAACCACTTCAAAATATATTTCATTTTCCATTTATATCTCACAAAGAGAATGAAGCCGGTTGTGTTGCCCTAAGGACTGGACATGCAGCTGGACTATGGGATGTTCAGAACTGTGAAGTAAAGGCAAAATTTCTCTGCAAAAAAATAGCTGAAAAAATCACTCTTCCTCTTGCTCCTGAAACTGCTTCTGATTACAAATGTCCCTTGGGTTGGGATACAAGCAATAGCACTAATTCATGCTTCAGAGTAAGTATTAATTTTTCCAATAATCCATGAGACAGAGGAGCACCAAATAGATTGTGTGTCTAAATTTCAGAGAATGGCATGTTATTGCACAAATGTAGTAAGCTTTTACACTGCAATTCATGGAAATCACTGCAATTTTCACTCTATCAGTGATATATAAGGTTATCCAAGTAGCATACTCTTTAATCCATATTATATATTAGAATTTCAATGGAGTGTTTTCCTACTTTGCATATACAAAGCAGTCAATAGATTTATTTTTAACATGCTGTAAACATCATATTCTACCTTAAAATATATCTGAAGGTTTTTGTGAGAGAAGAAAACCAAAAGAAAACATGGTTTGAAGCCCGAGATTTCTGCAGAGAAGTAGGAGACTTGGCTGCTATTAGAAATGAAGAAGAGCAAACAGTGATAGAAAACTTAATAATGTAAGTTAAAAAAGAAATAATTATATTTTTGTGTAACAATACTTTATGTAGGAATGAATAAAAATATACTTGAGTTGATCCTGAGATAATTAGTTGAAAATCTGTGTCTTTGTCTTCATAGTCATAAGAAAAAGAACTGAGAAACTATCTCATTTGGGTAATATTTCAAAGACCTTTTTTAATTCCTAAAATTGTCGTCATCCCTACATCTCTTAATTAAAAAAATACCCAACAAGAAAACTGAATGTTTCCCCTTCAGACTGATTTCTGTTTGCTCATTGAACCTTTTTGAAACTAAACTGTGACTTCCAGAAAACCTCAACATTTTAGTTCTCAAAGAACATTATAAACACAAGATCAGTAAAGAAAAAACAATGATTTCTGTTTTCAACACAACCATTTGGAAAGAAGAAAATTTTAAGGCATGAACTTCTCTTACTTGCTAATGGGAGTTTGCTGGCCAACAGCATTTTGCTCTTTATATGATTTCTACTCTATTTAAAGTCTTCAATAAGAGAGTTATTGTCCCATGTAACTTGCAAAATTTAACAGAGCTAACTATATACATCTTCTTCTTCTATGACACATTTTTTCACACTCTAGAAAAACATCCCCATCATCTCAGCCTTTCTGGATAGGCTTGCAGTATTTGGATCCTGATGGTGGGCTTTCCTGGAGTGACGGATCCCCAGTGAGTGTTGGACCTTGCTAGTCTCTTCTGTTCTGATTTTTTTTGCTGTTGGAGCTGTTTCCATGACTGGTGTGGATGAAAGTTGTAGAAGAATTTAAAAAATTGTCTACCTTGCCACTGGGTAACTTCAAACCATTATTCTTCATACTGGTTTGGAAAAGAAAAAGGCCAATAAACCCTGAGGTTATACCATCACAACAGTAACATGGAGTACTAGTTACAGCTACAGAGATGGTTATCTAAGTGGCAAATACATAAGAAAGGTCTCTGCTGATTTGCATTAGTCTCTGGTGATACATTGCCAGATTACTTTCCCCAGCTACTGATTTATAATTTTGTTTTGATTAATTTGATTTGAGTATTCATGGGACTGCTGGAGTCTGTTAAATGCTGCGTAAACCCAGGGCTTTTTTGTTTATCTTGCAGAGTGACTATATTGCTTTAATAGCCAACACAGGCTGCACAGACATAGGAAGAAAGTCAGGAGTGGTTTGAAACTTCAGTGCCACTTCTCTTTCCTTCCAGAATACAACTGTTTTCCCTATATGCTAAGAATCAAAATCAAAGCTGTGTTTCTTCTGTAGGTGAATTATAAGAAAAAACTTTGGTTTTACAATACTGCATTTGAATATTGTGGAACAATCAGATACGAGCCTTCCATGTCATGGATTGAGGAGCACTGTGAATACAGTCATAACTGGGTTTGTGAAATAAAGAAAGGTAGGTTACTTTTTACTCTGAACTCACATTAGGAAGAAATTTAAGCTGAATCTATCAAACCAGGAAGTTCTGCATATTACTTGCTTGTAGAAAATTTGGCTGATTTCACGGGAATTTTGCGTCACGAAAAATAGGTCAAGACATATAAATACTTAGAGAATACAATGTTTCAACTGTTAAACTTTATTTTTGTTTTATTAAAAAAATATTATATGGTAAACTTAACTTACAATATACTTGTTCAGGTAATTATAGAATAAGGTGAAAGCAACCCCAAGAGCTTATCCAGTAAAATCCGCCGCTCTGCCCAAAACCAGATTTTTGTCAAAACAGAAGCTTTGACTGACATGAAACTATGTTTCTTGGAACTTTTACTTGTAGGGAATTTCCAGATTGGGGGGCCAACGGGAGGCAGAGAGATCTCTGTATCCTTTGTAAAGTGAAACTTCACTCCTCTGCTCAAGTGTAGCTTGAAAGGGACACATGGATGCAGTACTAGTCACCTACTAGTCACTACACTAGTCGCCTACTCTAACTTAAACAAAACTACCAGGATACTATAGTGATTCTCTTTGTAAGATGATATGTAAAGAAAGTCCTATAACAACAGGCTTGCTGTAATGAAAAGATGGTAATCCAAGCTTCAATATATATATACTTTAAGACAATAAGCAGGCTCACATCTTTCTGTAATACCAGCAGCAAAATCTTCTGTTTATACTTCTGTTTTTCACTTTTTGCAAATGTTGAGAAATATCTAGCAAAATAAGAGAGGAATCAATTATAGCTTTGTATTGAGTTGCATGTTTTACTTCCAAGACTAAGAGGAGTGTTGCTTCGGTGGCTTGTTGGGCTCCTTCCCACAAGCACTAAGGACTAATGTTTAAAGTGATAATTTTCTAAATAATATAACTTCTGTGCTGATGAATTTTTCAGAATAATGTAATTCTAACCAAGGCACATTGTCTCAGCTTCTCATACTTAAAAATTCATGGTCATAGACAACTCTTTTAAAGAGATGTTGTGAAAATACCATTCCTGGTAACTTCCTTTGTAATTCTTCAACTGCATGATCAGCACAACTAAACACTATTAGCAAAGTGCCAACAGTGGTTGTATACTGTTAACGATTAGTAGTTTGTGAATGGCAGAAAGGATGTACAAGATGCAATTACCAAAGATCTACGAAGATGGAGATGTAGGGCTGTAATACATCTGTTATTCCCTGAACATCTATTTTTTGCTCTGCGCTGAAGATGCTAAATAAATATATTCTATATTGAACATGTAAAATATGGAATATGGATAGACATTAAGAGAATTTACGCTAATTGAACATTTATATTGCCTCAGCATGTGGGAAACATTTCACATTTTCAGATTTTTCCCATTTCATTACAGGGATGTCCTTGAAACCAGAACCTCTGGGCCCTTCTACCAGTAAGCTTCTGTTAATTTTCCCTTAAATAAGGGTGGTATCATGTAAGAACACCAGCTTTGTGTAAAGACTGTGAAGAATACAGGGATTCCTCTTCTGTGTTGCAGTGTATGAAGTCACAGAAGATGGCTGGATTATAAAAAGGGACAAACAATATTTTTTCAGCACAGAAAAGACTGCTATGGAGAAAGCCAGAACATTCTGCAAAAGCAATCATGGAGATCTCGCTACCATTGAAAATAACAGTGAAAGGAAATTTTTGTGGAAATATGTAAGAGGAAATTTGACTATGTTATACATATATGCCCTATATATCCTGTTGCATATGCTTGTGAAGTACAAGAGAATGTCCTTGTTGCATAATATTACTACATTTTATTTGCAGTACATTTATATGTTCAATGAAAAAAATATTTATTCTACAGAACAGAGCTTCTCTTCAGGAAAATAAATACAAAATAATGTATCATTTAGTAGGGTGGGTATATTCTTGTATATTCTAATCTAAATAGAGTTCTGCCCCTGACCAAATATGTATGAGGAGCAATGAAGAGGCAGATTAGGTGTATACTGATGCAACTCTCCTTTTGATAGTGTGGTTACCTCTCATCTGAATATCATATCCTAGAATACAGTGTTATGTGTAGATGTGAGGCTACTGTCCGTGTAGCTCTGATGGTCACGTATCACATCATTCTGCTGAACAAAACAACTTTTCAAAGAAAGGTTTAGCTTGGTCCAGGTCAGGGACTGATGACCTAGGACCTTCATGAATTAATTTTAGTAGCCACACAACTTCCTTTCAGTTTCACACTACTAGATGTTTGCTTTTATTATGTGGAAAAGGATATGAGAGGGGGAGAGGACAGACAGCTTGAGATATAGGAATTACATGGCGTTTTAAGAACAGGAAAGTACAAATAAAACTTCATACTAATTTTTTTTCTCAAGTCTTCATTGCTTCATTTTGTTTTTACTTTTTCTAAAGTCTGTGATGTATGGTATTTACTTCAACAGGGGTCCTCTCTGGTGACTACACATGAACATTTATACAATCTGTATTCATCTATTTGCTTCTTTAGCACAAAAATTACACTTTTTCATATTATACAATTACTAAATATTAGAAAACACTAACTAAAAGGACATTTTTGTGTTTAGATTTTAAAAAATGGCAAATTGGAGTCATATCTTATAAGATTATTTCAGAATGCTGATCAACAGTTTAGGTAGGTAAACAAACTACATCAAGATTAATAAAAAGCAGTTGTAGAAGTTTTGTATCACCAGAGTTCCTTCTGCAGGGACCACTGCAGGGGAGCTAATCCCAGATTCAGCGAGCTATATTGCATGTTGAAATGTATGCTCTCCCTCGGTTTAACTACATTGTAAAAACACTGATTTAAAGAACATTTTTATAGGGAATATACAAGCTATGGATATATAGATAACATCTGTTAAAAATACAGGTATTTTTGTTCTTTGACTTGGCACACAAGGATTAAATTATCTAAGGTTTTTTATTCCTAATAGGAACTCAATTTATAGACAGACTCAGCTGTATTTTTTTTAAGTATTTTTAGCATGTTAAGGTAGATTTTTTCAAACTGTTTCATGAACATTGTCTGAGCAACTGTTACTCTTTTGTTGTTGCTTTTTTTCAGCTGGATGGATGGAAGCCCGGTGCACTATGCAGCTTGGGCACAGGGTGAGCCCAACTTTAAATACGCTCAAGAAAATTGTGTGGTTTTAAATAAAAAGAATGGTGAGTTACAAAACTTCTTTCAAAAAAAGTATTTTCATGGACACTGCTCTTCCCTTGTTTGTTAAAAATATCCTGCCAACTTTAATCCATTCTTTCCCAGCAATTTGGGAAAATATGCATAATAAAGTCTAGTTACTATATCTGAGGTTGCTTCAGGGGAAATATTAGCCAAAAAAGTGGAATATTAGATATTGATTTTAATGGGGAATGTGGGGACAATTTGATCACTGATTTTTCAGCTGCATATGTTCTATTCAAATCAACAGCAAATTGATCTTTCAAAAAATAATTACAGCAAAAGAATAGAACATACACACATTTTCACATTTTATAGTTGTTTTCAGTGATAAAGTGTTACATCATACTTGCATATTTCAGTGCAACAAAGCTGTTCAGGTGGGTTCTACTCAGAAGTTGTGGAGTTGCCGTATCAGTTATCTTGTATGGCCACTACTCCCACGGTCACAGCAGGACCAAACTCCTCCTGTAAGCAGTGATGATGGGAGGTATCGCTGAGCTGCAGCATGTTATGTTCCATAGCCAGGCAGACTGATTTCAAGCCTACAAGCAGGGGAGCCAGTTCACTTTCCCACAAATTTCAGTCTTATTCAGTGTCTTATGATCTATATTTAAATTGCTCTCAGGCTTGTGGAGTGATGTCAGCTGTAGTTTTTCAAATGGCTATATCTGTCAGAGGCACGGAAGTTTTCTAAATGCAACAATTCCTTCAGCGGTACCTTCACCTCCTGGAGGATGTCCTGAAGATTGGCTTTTATTTAAAAATCAGGTATGATAACATCAGATAACACATCGGATTCTCATCAGACTCCTACAGTGGTTTATAAATGGTTGGTTGAGGTTTTTTGTGCCTTTCTCAGTCCCTCACAGAAAGACAATGAGTAAATTTAAAATTTGTGAAAAGTTTTGTCTTGGTTCCAGAGCTGAGTCCCTGTTAACTTTGGAAAACCACTTTGTGGGTCTGAGTTTATCTAATTTCTACTTAAACTAGAGTAATTCAAACCTAAATTCCTTTTGCTGTCACTTTCTAACCGTCTATACTAATTTTTCCCTAGTGTTACAAATTTTTTGACACTTCCTATGAATACTGGCACACTGCATGAAGAACTTGTGTGAACCTTGGAGGAAACCTGGCAAGTATACCTAATGAAGAAGTACAAGGTATAGTGCAACAGCTCTTTAAGTAATAGATAGTCTTCACTCTGTATACAGTGGTCATTTCCAGCGGCGAACAAGATGGCAAAAAAGAGACACTGTATAAACGTATGTATTTTATAATATGTATACTCAACAAGGGCTGTATGTCCATGGCACAAAATGTTTTTGGAAAAACTGGAACCATCTCTCTAAGGCATGCTAGCGATACTGAGGGCTGCTTCCTCCTGTTCCATGCAAACTGCTTTGCATTATTTACAGAGTATGAATTAGCATTAAAATAACAAATCCAGGCCTGGCATTTGTAGTTTTAGACACAGAGAAATAAAAGGAATCCACGGTCTGTTTCTGCCAGAAATAGAAAGGGATATATTACTATACCTCTCTGAAATGACTGCCTAAATTCTTAATTCAACAGTAAAAGATCAGAGGAAGGCACATTTTCATCCTGCCTGTGCTCCCAGACTTCCATTTGCAGCTATATACAGCTACACATTTCCTTTTTTGTATCTTTCCTCTTTACAATCTTGCTTCACAGTTCCAAAAACTTTCACTCTCTGAGGCTTTTAACAGGTAAAGGCTTGGCCATTACTTGAAATTATAAACTTGGGTAAATTTCTGATCAAATGCTAATTAAAATTTATTTGCAAAACTTAAACAAAATACTTAAGAATTTGTTTACAAGCCAACGTCTTGAGTGATGACATGACATGTTCATCTTGTCTTCTACTGGCTTTTTCCCCAGCTTTTCTCACTTACCATTTGAAAGATGTTTCAAATGATCCCTGGATTGGCTTGAATGATATACTCAGTGAACTCGACTTTGTTTGGTCAGATGGAAGTGCTGTCTCATATACAAACTGGGCTCCAGAGTCCCCAAAACGTGTAGAACCTGTGTTGTTTGACAGTCTACATCCAGAAGATGGCCACAATCTGCAACAAGTAAGTATTGCTTAGCATTTACCATCATGTTAAAGCTGAGAAGCAATATCACGTCAAGTAAAAGAGCTCACTTTGCTACGGATATTGCCTCAGCCTTTCCCCTAAATTGTTCATCTGTCTTTACACTGGGATTAACAATAAAAAGTTTGAATGTTTGAGTATTCTAGCTAACTCAGAGCACAAAATGGCATTGCTGCAATTTTCTCACAGAATTTGGGAAAACTGCAGTAATGGAAATATTGAATAAAGATTGTCTAGATTGAATAAAGTTATATTTTTCATAGCAATTTTCTGTTCATCTTGGAAATATTTTCACCTTTTATAGATTAACTCACATTTGAAAAAGAAGGAGGAGAGGATGCAAGAGAAAAGAGTTCAACTTTTTCCTACTTCTTCCCTATTTAAAATTGTAATTGAATTGCTAAGGGCCAATTCATCCATACATCTAAATAACCTGGAAATTATACCTCTAGGCAACTAGCTTAATCTGTATCTGAACTGATTCATTCTGCTCTTGCCCATCTAGCCATTGGCCAAGGCGTGCAAGAAGATGTATAGGATACAGCACAATACATAGCTCTACTTTACTGCAGCTCTAATAAAACTCCAGGGAAATGTCAAGTGAGGAAAAAAAGACGACTGTGCAGAAGTACATTCTACTTTTCATCTTCACCTTCAAGATACTAACAGCTATCTCCTTCAGAGAATCCTTTTCAAAGGAGTGAAATAACATCAAAAACTTACTCAAGCTTAACAAACTGGAGTCAAGAGCCATTAAAACAGGTCTTCCTAAAATTTCTGCATGGTAGCCTAGTAGGCTTTTGCAGGTTCCAGCTTCTTAAGCACTCAGCACCTGATCTGGTGCAGCTGAAATAGAAATTCTAAGAACCAGAGTTGATTATAACTGTCAAGGACCATCATTTAGCTCATCCTCTCAAGAATAACCACTATTAAAAGTTGGCTTCACAAGCAAAATACAAAGCATGACCTCAATTTATTTTTATTTCATTATTTTTCTTAAAACTTACTGATAGTCACTCATAGGTAGATGACAGACGGTGTGACAAAGTTCTTGAAAACAATAGTGCCTTTCAATTATGTTTCCTTGAAAATAACCAAATGAACAAGCAATCTGAGATGAAGATTACAGAGATTTACAGGACAGTATCAAGGTGGATTTGGTCACCACAGAGGAGGCCAAAAAGGACAGAAAAGGATAAAAGGAAAGTGTTTCTACAGTTGAAATACAAACCTTACAGTATCAGAATTCAAAGTAAAAAGGAGTGAAACTACCCAAGGAGTTACAGTACTTTGCTTTATAGGTTCTAATATCAATGTACTTATATTTTTTCCCTTACTCCAACAGTTTGATTGTGTTTCTTTGAAGAGAGGTCATGCTGATGAGACAGGAAAATGGAACAATATGGAGTGTTACAACAGCACAGGGTATATATGCCAGAAGAACAGTGGTGAGTTCTGTATCCCTAATCTTGAAATATATCACATAAGGATCAAAATATTTTTTCTTGTTTAAAACGCTTTAGAACAGTTACCTTTTTTTTTTTCCAGCTAAAGGATCAGTAAAACCTAAGTGCTCATCTTGCATGCCAGCATTAGTTAGCAATGTTTTGGAAAAGGGAATGATAAATAAAATATAAGAATTTAGGAATGCAAAATTATTTTCTTTTAAAAAGTGTAATTAAATAGCTAATGCCCACAAATATTTGAATTATATAAGTTCTAATAACCTACTGATTATCATAACTTTTAAATTTTACATTTTTCCAAATAAAACTGATAGTCACAATGCTGCTAAGTTGCAAGGGGTATTTTGAAAACATACAGGGTGAATGAGTTATTTTTGACTGATGGGGTTGATTTACCTCTGCCATATAGGATACTCAGAATTTACTGATTCAAAATTCTCAGAGGCTGAAAATTCACTTCTTTCATCCAGAAAGTTCACTGTTGTTTCAAAGCTATCTGTTACTTATGAGTAACTAATAAGAAGGTATTTCATTCCATTAGCAATTTTCTACTAGGTTTGTAAATACTGAAGATGTTATTCAGTTGCTCAAGTCAAATACATGGCCTCCAGATTTAACTGCTCTTGGGGTGGGTTTTTTTCCTTATTCCTACAGATCCCAGACTCTTTAATTCATCAGCAACAGCACTCGACTTTGCTTTTGACCATTCTAGTGGCATTAGTTATTCTGTCACCCTTTTCAAAATGAATTGGGAGGAAGCACAGAGAAACTGCTATAGCAACGCCTCAGAGCTTGCCAGCATTTTAGACCCATATAGCCAGGCACTGCTGTACTTACTTACACAGGAACATGGAGAGCCTCTGTGAATTGGTCTTAACAGCAATGCGGTAAGAACACATACATTACATACAGGTAGTCAAGCTGACACTGGAACTAGTCTTTGTGCTCTCCTCTTGTAACTCACAGGAATTTCTGTCAGTGTAGTGCTGAAAACAACATGTTACATCAGTTCAGTACCCATTGACACAAGAGTTCTTCAAATAAGACTCATACAGTGGAGATTTTAATGAACTAAAAAGTCTTATATGCTTTAGCACAAGTAAATGCTCCTGCAAACTAGTATATAACAATGCTGTGTGTTGTTTAGAGTGATTTAAAGGGTCTCAAAGATAAATTGTGAAATCTCCCACATTTTCAGTTTATTTTAATCTAAAAGATATTCCAGGAATACCATGCATCCTGCCCTCCTGCCACATGTTTATGTACCTCAGTGATCAGTGACATGTTATCTCAATCTGCGCATCTGAGACACGGGAGGGAGCAGTTTTTATGTGCGTGTTTATGTTCACACATTCTACTAGAGTAGTGTTATTTTGTAGCAGTAGCAAAATAGAGTTGCAGACAGAAATATGGGTAAATGTTAAAGGAATGTGGAGGCTGTATGATATGGTACGTGTGACCAATGGATATATTTCTTCATTTGAAAATGCAATTGGTCTAATTGCTCCCATTAAGCAGTTAGAATATTATGCAAAAAAATCCTTTGTTTGTGAGATGTCTACATCAGTTGTATGACAGGGGAGGATGAACATTTGGATGGTAGGTGTATTTTGACATGCTACACTTTCCACCATGAATTACAGTCACGATAACTACAACAAAAGTGATGGTCATCAGGGCTGCTTATTAAGAACACTCCCACACACTCCCTATTTTCCATGCAGACCTTTGGGTGGTCGTACCAACATGATGCCTTATCTAGCTCCCAGCTTTATGCCTTCTCTCATGCTCCCTTCCTTTTTTCCCTTCCATTTCCCAATGCTTGAAAAATGCTCTGAATTAGTGTTAGATACTTTTTGGAGGGCAGGAAAAAAAATCATTCTGTATTCATATTTATGGATAACAGGCACTGTTCACTTTGTTGCAGTTAGCATTTACAAGCACAAAAAGGGAGCATTAATAAGCACCCGATTCCACTGGTTACACAAGTGTCCTCTTGAGGATGCTGTGTAGTAGCTATGTCACTCCCAGCAACCATGAAATTACCACATAGATTTTCCTTTCAGACCAACGGCAAGTATCAATGGATTGACAGATGGAGATTAGTTTACAGCAAGTGGTCCAGCGGGGAACCAAAACAGACATTAGCATGTGTCTACCTAGACAC